TGTGTGTGTGTGAGAGAGAGAGAGAGAGAGAGAGAGAGAGAGAGAGAGAGAGAGAGTACGTATGCAATACATAATCCTCCAGGAAGATTTTTTTGAAATTTAGAACAGGCTTCCATATTTGCAAAATAATCAATATGAACAGTAACAAATAGCAGTACAACAATTTCTCATTTAGCCTCTGATTTTGCTTTTAATTTGTGGCTCCTTAATTCAGCTCATGCCCTTCTCTCGTCTGCACATTTGTAAATCACCACCACCACGACCACCAATTCACTTGTTCATCAAAACTGAGAGAATATTGTACATGGCCTAGAAAGTGGATGTTTTACAAACCTTTATTACTGGAGCAGTCTGAAAAAAAACATTTCTTCATATCTTGAAACTGAAGACTTGGTGTGTATTCAAAAATAATTACGTTACTAAACTAGCATGTTAGCATAATCTGGATGAGACAGGGTCTCTAGATCCATTGCAATCTGGCGTTAGACCTGGTTATGAGAAAGGTCTATTCGTGCTGGCCACGTGACCATGGGAACGGTCTTCGGACAAACGCTGGCTCTACAGCTTGGAAACGGGGATGAGCACCGCGCCTTAGAGTCAGACATGACTGGACTAAATCTCAAGGGAAACTTTTACCTATGAGAAAGGAGATTACTTTGGTCACCTTGGGTGGGCTACTTACACTGGGAACTGGACTGGAGGAGTGTGTCCCTGTTGCTTCTGTTGGACCTCTCAACGGCTTTTGATACCATGGACCATGGTGTCCTTCTGGGCCATCTCTTTGGGATAGGACTGTTTTGCAGTGGCTTCAGTCCTTGCTGGAGGGGAGAACCTAGAGGATGGTGCTAGGGAAAGCCTGTTCTAAAAGCTGGCCATTGGCCTGTGGTATCCTTCAGAATTCTGTTTTGTCCCTCGTGCTATTTAATATAGAATCATAGAGTTGGAAAGGGCCTATAAAACCATTGAGTCCAACCGTTTGCTCAAGGCAGGAATACAAATGACAGATTATATGCCAGGTGATTGTCTAAATTTGTCTTGCATGCCTTCACTTCTCACGGTAATTGGTTCCATTGCCACATGAAACTGCTGGGAGAGGTTGTCTACAGCAGTGATCCTCAAATTTGGGTCCCCAGATGTTCTTGGACGATTCTCAAATTTAGGTCCCCAGATGTTCTTGGATGGCAACTTCCAGAAATCCTGGCCAGCGCAGCTGTTGGTGAAGGCTTCTGCAAACTGCAGTCCATGAACAGCTGGGGACCCCAGTTTGAGAAACCCTGGTCTACGGTTTTGAGGTTCAGCGTCACCAACGGGCACTCTTTCTTTCCCCAGTGTTCCAAAATACAGATACAACAAGGTGACCATGGCATCGTTCTGTTGAGAGACTAATTCTTTAGAAATAAGCTGCATACTACTGAGTGTCTATTGTTTCAGTGCAAGCAAAGACAGAGCTCTGCCCCTTATGC